CACCAAACTCCCACCTCTATTTTTTTACCACAATAATTAAATTAATTAATTAATAACTAAAAACGTTATTATTATCGGCCTTCCTATATAATAGTTTAATATTTTAAATATTCGATTTTCATAAAGTAGTAATTATGTGAGCACGGGTAATGGGTAGAACCGAAACCCACCCGGAACTAACATTGCGTGGGTAGGTTTTGGTTCCATTTTTTTGGAACCGATATTATGCAGTTTCGGTTCCTACATGTATCGAAATCAGAATCAGAATCGGAACCAGAACCAGAATCGGAACCGAAACCGAAACTGAAACTGGGAAAAAAGAACCTGCAGCGAGTACCCAACTTGGAACCTACAGTGGGTACCCTGTTTTGGAACCTGAGCTACAACAAAATATCTGTGAAGAATGGGGGTCTATTATAATTTTACATATAAAAAAATTAAAATGGAAAAAGTTAAATTTTTACCATAACCTAATTAAATAAATATACAATTATACTTATTACATATAAACTATACCATATAAAAAACTTTAATATATTATAATATATTAATATTAAAGTTTTGATTAATTAAGTGTAAAATTGGAATTAGAAACAATTAAAAGTATTTTAATGTTATTAAAAGAATTATTTTTGAATAAAATAGTATATTTGATTGAATAATAATATAATATTTAGCTATTTACTTCAATTATCAAGTTCTAAGCATATCCGTAATAAATTAGTAATTAATTAATTATTAAAAATAAACGAATAAATATTAATACATTACTAGTTAAATGATTATTTAACATTATAGTTAAATTATTACTTAATTAATTATAAGTTTATAATATTACATTAGTAATTTAGTACATTATTTAATTAAATAATTAGAAATTTAATTAATTATAACATTACATTATAGATTTATAGTATAATTATTTAATTAATTATAACATTACATTATAAAAAAAATGATTACTTAATTAAATGATTAGTTAATTAATTATAATATTCTGATCACATAATTAATTATAACATTACATAATTAAATAATTACTTAATTAATTATGACATTATATTATAAACATTAGTAATTTACTACATTAGCACAATACTTAATTAAATGATTAGAAATTCAGAGGAGATGGATGGTGACCATTATGAAGTTGATTAAAGGATACTCGATTCAAATTCGTACTAGAATGTTTTGTTAAGAAACCTTTTTTTGATGGTGTTGGACAGCTAAGTATATATGATTAAGACTAAATTAAAAAGCTTCGAAATTCATAGTGGCTATAAGGAAAATTATGAGATCTACTATTACAGTATTAGTCNTAGGAAATTATTATTATATCTAAATTGATTAAATAACATGAAGCATCTAATTATCGAATTGATATAAATAATAATTGGATTAAGATTGATGAATGCCAGCAAGGCCGGCTCAAGGGGTAGGCAGGTGAGGCACCTGCCTAGGGCCCCCAAAAATAGAGCGGAAAAGGGTCAAATTTTTTATAAATTTTTTTTAAATATATTAAAAAAAAATAGTGTATAATTTCTTATCTAGGTCAATCCAATGGACTCCCAAAAAAAACCAAGACCTAAATTTATTATAAACTTTTTACATATATTCTCACCCGAAGTTTGACGAAATAGTAAGTTTGCACCCTAATTTCATATATTCTAATTTACACTCTTAAATTAACACATTGAATTTCTTTTAATAATGAAAGACTAAAATGGTCATTTACATGTCTCAAATTACTCACCCCTAATTCAATCCCAAAATTCAACATTCACATAAATCATCTTCACCCCTCTTCCGCCACCGGCCGTTTGGAGCTGATTCCTATCAATTTTCTCACCAAAATTGACCGGAACCATTACTTTATCATGTTCCAAGTGTTTTCCCAGCCTTGATAGCCCTTGATTTGTCTAATTTTTTACGAATCTTGCAACCTAGCTCCACCACGTGCGACAGCCATTTCTAGCATTTTCGGCATGTACTTGCCTTCGTTGGCCTTCCCCAACAGCACCATTTTCCTTCATTCAACCTTCTCACCAAAACCCCTATCATATCTCATCCATTTACTCTGCCATAGCCGGCCACCGATACCTTTTGGGCCGCAACTTCTCAAGTCTTTTCCGGTCAATCCTGGCATTGTTAATCACCTATTTCACCACCTATCACTTCTCCAACATCTACTCTCCAAAACCCCCTACCAACCTAATCCTGTTAGCCAGACAGTCGTCGTCCACCTCTCCTAGTGATTTTACATCTCAAAAGGCAAGAGAAATAAATTTGAAATAATTTTTTTAATATATGCTTATATTATTAGAAGGCCTCCAAAGTAACTTTTGCCTAGGGTTACAAATGTTCTTGAGACGGCCTGATGAATGGTTAAAGAAATTTTTCCAAACTCGAATAAAGGGATTTATGATATTTTTAATGCATATTTTTCTACTTATAATTAGATCAAATCTCTGCATAGTTACTGATTCTATTAATAGAAAAATTGTTTTAAGTTTTTTTTTTTTAGTATTATTAACAATCAATTGTAAACTATATTAGGATAAACATTCATATTAAAAACATCATTACATGTAACTAAAATTTTCGTACGGGTAAAATAGTAAATGACAAACGACCCATGTTAAAAATATTCCAAAATGGAGAACAAGAAAAAGATTTCTAGTCCAGAAACAAGAGCTGGGCCAGATATGAAAGTGAGCCAAGGCTAAAAAGGTCTAAGCATTTATGAAGAAGCCACCGACACTAGCAACAAACTATTTAATTAAAATAATTAAAAATCTCATTCTAGAAATCCTACAGCAACCACAAGGAAAGGATTCTTGTGAAGAACATTAACCTAAAGTCAAGTTACTGAAATTACATAAATACCCTCATCTGTCAATTTACCAACCACCATGCACAATGTAATTGAAATTCATTCCTTTGATTCTAAACTCATTTAATTAAGCTTTAATTAATTAAAGCATCTTTATCTTTGGATTCTCATTAACATATTTATCTTTCATTTTCTCTATTAATAAAAAGGCCTTCTCCAAAAGTCAATGATAAGCACTAGTTTTATTAAAAAAATAAAATAAATAAATGACTGTTTTTCATCCAAATAATGGTTTAATGACACTTTTTCATCGATAGATTTTTAAAATATCACTTTATTATCCAAATTTATATTTTATTTTCGATTTCGACTTCGTTACGATCCCACAGTATTACAATTTTCTTCTCTGATCATCACTCATCAAAATCCCTCTAACCATACTTCTATTGACTCTACCAATCGCCGACAATTGAGCGATTAGAGTTTGCGCAGCCGCCCCTCCCAAATCAAATTCCTACCAATCCCAACCACCAAAATCCAACATTCCACCGTCAAAAGACTCATCGGTCTTCTCTCTTCAAAAGCCCTAACAGCTTAGACCGAGTTTGCTCTCTATTCACCGCTAAAATATAAATTTGGGTAGAAAAATAGTATTCTAAAAGCTTGTGTGCGGGAAAGTGTCATTAAGCCATTATTTGGGTGGGAAAAAAGTCGTTAATTCAAAAAATAAAAAATCAATATCTTCATTTTAAATAATAAATTATATAAATAGTTAGGAAATTATTATTATATCTAAATTGATTAAATAACATGAAGCATCTAATTATCGAATTGATATAAATAATAATTGGATTAAGATTGATGAATGCCAGCAAGGCCGGCTCAAGGGGTAGGCAGGTGAGGCACCTGCCTAGGGCCCCCAAAAATAGAGCGGAAAAGGGTCAAATTTTTTATAAATTTTTTTTAAATATATTAAAAAAAAATAGTGTATAATTTCTTATCTAGGTCAATCCAATGGACTCCCAAAAAAAACCAAGACCTAAATTTATTATAAACTTTTTACATATATTCTCACCCGAAGTTTGACGAAATAGTAAGTTTGCACCCTAATTTCATATATTCTAATTTACACTCTTAAATTAACACATTGAATTTCTTTTAATAATGAAAGACTAAAATGGTCATTTACATGTCTCAAATTACTCACCCCTAATTCAATCCCAAAATTCAACATTCACATAAATCATCTTCACCCCTCTTCCGCCACCGGCCGTTTGGAGCTGATTCCTATCAATTTTCTCACCAAAATTGACCGGAACCATTTAACTTTAATAATGTTCCAAGTGTTTTCCAGCCTTGATGCCTTGATTTGTCAATTTTTACGAATTTGCAACCTAGCTCCACCACGTGCGACAGCCTATTCTAGCATTTCGGCAGTACTTGCCTTCGTTGGCCTTCCCCACAGCACCATTTTCCTTCATCAACCTTCTCACCAAACCCCTACATATATCATCCCATTTTACTCGCCATAGCCGGCCACCAGAACCTTTTGGGCCGCAACTTCTCAAGTCTTTTCCGGTCAATTGGCAGTGTAAGCACTAGTTTCACACTATCACTTCCCAACATCTACCTCCAAAACCCCCCTACCAACTAATCCTGTTAGCCAGACAGTCGCGTCCCACCTCCTCTAGTGATTTTACATCTCAAAACGGCAAAGAGAAAATTGAAATAATTTTTTCTAGATATCTTATATTATTAGAAGGCTCAAAGTAACTTTTGCTAGGTTACAAATGTTCTTGAAGAGGTGATGAATGGTTAAAGAAATTTTTCCAAACTGAATAAAGGGATTTATGATATTTTATATGCATTTTTTCTACTATAATTAGATCAAATCTCTGCATAGTTACTAATTCTATTAATAGAAAAATTTTTAATTTTTTTTTTAGTATTATTAACAATCAATTGTAAACTATATTAGGATAAACATTCATTAATTAATTGTGTTTGTCCACAACTGATATCTAATTTTCAATTATATACAAGAAATCTAACGATATAATCAACTTAACACTACTAAATCTCTGCTTTTAAACATTATTGATAAAAAAAAAAAAAAAACAGTTACCACTCATTCATTATTCAAAAAAAAAAAAAAAAAAAATCAAAAAAGAACAAAAAATATATATAATTTCATACAATTCCAGATCAATCAAACAAGATCAAGATCCCTTGACCATCTATGAATCTATTTGATTCAATTTATATATATATAAAAACCCCTATATATATATAGTAAAAATTATTAGCGCTTATTACAATAATTACTTAATTATAATTAATTAATTGTTGATAATCCTGCAAGAACGCCACTCCAGTTGATGGCAACCAAGACGAGCCATAAATAAACTGTGCAACAGTGAACTTGCTAGCCTCCACCGTCGATGTAATCACCCTGTAACCCGGCCACTTCACCCGCTGCCCGACGCGCCACCGGGGCCGGAGTTCATATCTCACCGTAATAAAGAGTATCCAGGGCGAACGTCGCGTTCCATTCGAGCCATCCTCTCGGATGAATGTGATCCCCCTGTAAGTTAACATATAAACCACCCTGGAATAAAGTTTCCAGGGCCTGCCGAGATACGTTTGAAGCTTCCTTTCGACGCTCGAGATCGGACGTTGCGTAGAGTCTACAGGCGTGGATCCAGATGCCCGTGTTCTGATTGGGTCTTTTCTGTTTGAGTGTTATGGTGTTTTTGGTTGGCCAATTGGGGTCCTGCGTAGATGCTGCAGTTCTGGAAGACGACGGCAGCATTACCACAGATAAAGTCAACGGTACCGTAAACGTCACATTCCCGAAAGAATTGACGGTTGGAGTGTACGTAGAGAGTGTCCTGGTATCCAATTATGTTGCAACGATACACCACGGCGTGGTCAGCTCCAACTCGGAGAGCTACAGCTTGGTGCTTAGCGGGGCCTGCATAATTCTCAAATGTCATGTCACGAGCGATGAATCCTGAACCTGTCGCAGCTGCAACAAAAAAAATGTTGGGACACCGATTCTTAATAATTATTGGATTAATAATACATATTCTTTAAGATGTTGGGACGTTTAGAGAATTGACCGATGGATAAAAGTGATTATGAGGTGGCCCACCATCAATAATGGAATGATAATCCTGGTGTTAAGACAATAATATCCACGCTTTATAATAATAAGAAAAGAATAAAAGAAATTCAGCGTAGATGATGATGATGTAGGACAAAAAGTGCATAATTTTGCAGAGAATTGCACGCAGAAATGAGTCAATCAGAACATTCCAACTTATTTAACACTGCACTCACTTTTTCCCATACAAAATCTATGTACAATAATACCCACATTATTTTCATTTTATTAAATAAACTTACACATATAAACGTTCAAAGAAAATAGCATAATTTTAAATAAATAAATTTCTAATAAAAAAGTATTTTAAGTGTGTACAGTTGTCCATAACCTAAGGTTTGAGAAGGGTAAATTGGTCAATATAAAAAAAGAATTGTAGATAGCAGAAATCCGGGATGGCTAAAGTGACAGGCCACATGCAACTTAAATTTCTACAACGTGGCTTTCTATGGTCCAACTCCAACTTCCCATTGTTTCTGAAAATGGCTCCATTCTATTCTACTTTAAAATTTATTTATTATTATTTTGAAGAAAATTATGAGAAAGGTGAAAAGAAATTTTACCAAAGGATGCCGTGTGAAATGTTGTCATCTTTTCTTGAACACTTTTTCCACCTGTAATTATCGTTTTGCCCTTCCCGTCTCCTATGAACATCACATTCTTCTTCTTTCTTCCAACCTTTATCATACTCTCTTCATACCTAAAATTACATTAAAAATGACCAAAAATTTAGATCATAGTATGATAACAGGAAAAAATACTCTCGACATCATAATATATTAATTATCAAAGTACCAATGAAAATTAAAAATAAAAACAAAAGGAAACCTTTACTAAAGTTTTCTTCTCTTTTTTCCGTTTACTTTTTAAATAAAAAGGTTAAAAGAGTCATTTTCATACCTTTTCTCACTGACTTTAATGCAAAACATTCACAATTTTAAATGGTTTTTCTTATTTCAAAAAAAAAAAAAAAAACATGACTCTTGATTTTATCTATTTTTATTTTTATTTAAAAAAAAAAAAAAACCATATAATGGTAGTTCACCTGTAGAACATATGAACTCCATAATTATGTTATTAAAGTCAATTTCCCAATCACCGCTTACTAAAACCCAAAAAGATTTCTATAAAGTGAGATGAAAAGTAAAAACAAATAATAAATACAATAAATAATAAGCAAAACTTTTTGTTTTTTTACAGAATAAATTTACCTTCCTGCCCTCACGTAAATAATCGTCCGGCGTTCGCTATTCTCTGGCACCTTTTTAATCGCTTCAGAAATCGTCTTAACCGTCCCATTTCCATCTTTCGACACGACAATATCGGCATGTATCGCCGATACAGGCGAAGCCAACAGTCTCCTATCCTTCCTACTCAACCATCCCGGAAACGTATCGCCAATTTCCCCCGATATATCGTCCTCCTCTAGTAACCTCCTCCTATTCTGTATCGGAACTCCCGAGAAATCGTCCCCACTAGTCGCCGCAAAAATCGCCAAACAATTACTCACCAGTTCGGACAAGTCCTTCAACTTATCCGCCACCTGATCCTTCACGCCTCCACCCACATCCGCAAATCCATCCTTACACGTCTCCTGGTTAGTCAGCGCCGCACTCAGCCACGTCAGCACGTCTTCTCTGTCATTCGCGTTACTGTTCCCACCCGGTATCTGCACGATGGAGCCAAGCGAGCGCGTGAGCGCGTCCACCGAGTCGTCCAGGAGTTCCAAACAGGCGTCGAATGCCGACCGTGCATGTGTATCCATCTGGAGATAGGAGATCCCCGACGTGTCATACAACGCCTTGCTGAAGTGCTGCAGCGTCATGTTGAACGAAATGTGGACGAGGTCCTGCTCCGACGCGGTGAGTGAACCCGGGAAGTTGAGTAGCGAGTTGACACAGATGGTCGGGTAGAGCGTCTTGCTACAAGTCCTCGAAATGGCCTGAGTCGGCTTGCGTGGGATTTTCGGGCCGGAGCCGGCCCTGGATTTCAAACCGACGACGAGAATGGCAGCGACGAGTGAAAGAATAATCAAAAGGAGAGCCAAAGCGGAGATGAAAATAAGTTTCTTATCTCGCTTGCCTCTAGAGGCAGAGGGTACGGATGGAGCAGAGGTGGCGGGATCTTGTTCGTGTAAGGGGCGGCGGGAGGAGCCGCCGGGTTCGGAGGGCTGTAGCCTGCCGTAGCCCATTGTTGCTTGGTTTGAAAGCTGAGAAGAATATTTGAAGAGGAAACTAAAATTAAATTACGGAAAAGAGTGACGTGTCATGGAGATGGAGAAGAGAAAGAGAGAGTGAGTGAGAGAGTTATAAGGAGGAGGAAGAAGGTTGGTGTAAAGTCTAAATCGAGAGAGGGAAATGAAAATAGCTGGATTCTACTTTCACTTCTTCTTCGTCTTCTTCAACTCTCGTTTTTGTTTTGTTTTGTTTTGTTTTCTTCTTTTATTGAAAATTTTAAATGTTTGGTGGACGAGAAACATGAGTAAAACTAATTAATTCTTCACAATATGGATAATATAAATAAATAATTAATTTGAAGATAGTCTCAGTGATTAATTAATAAAATAAAGTAATTACTTTAATACACTTGGTTTGTGTGGCTTCCAGTTTAAGCATTTAATTTGAAGAATACATGAAAGGGAAGTAAAAGCACTTCTAACCCAAAAGCATTTTTAAAGTTTCGTTCAGCTGGGGATGTTAAAAGCACTTCCTGTTTGGTGGTAAACACGAGTAATTTTGTCTTCAGTCAAAATGACATAAATTTCCAATTAATTTTTATTATTTTATTATATTTTTGTCCAGTGTTATAATACAAGTGGAATCTTGAATATTGATGTGTTAAAAATTGGGGTAATAATGATAAAGAGAAAAAAGCGTTATGATTTGGAAATAATAAGTATTTAATTATTATTTATAGAAAGAAAATTTATGTAGATGAAAATGAAAGGAGTCAACTAATAAAAACAATCAACTTAGACAACGGAAGTCACTTTCTCCTACAGGTAGTTAGCTATAGTTACTTCTGGGAAATTGTACCTTTAGTTAAACCGAATAAAAGACAATAATTTTTAAGAAGACAGTTGCTTTTCGTATAATATCCAAATATCTTTTTTTAATTTTTAAAATTGTAACTTAATTTTATTTTTTTTCTTTTTTTTCCGTTGAGAATGTGAACCTCATTGCATCAATAATTTGAATCTATTATTTCATTTTCTTTATAATAAATAGATAGGAATCTTACCTTTTTTTTTTTTTTTTGTAATATTGTTAAAGTATCGATTTATCTCTATTAATTAAGGGGATTAATGTCCTTTTGTAACGAATGAGTCGAATCGTCTTGTATAAGATTTTATGTTGTAACGAGTGAGTCGAATCATCTTGTATAAAACTGGTAGTTTAGCTTTTAGTCTAGTGATAAGTATTTGATCCTAACAAATTTATAATCTGTTTCATTTTTATTTTTTTTTATTTTTATGACTTGAGTCTTGATTGATGTTGAATTCACGACAAAGATAAAATACTTATAAGAAAATTTATCGAGAAATATGAATTACTGAGATATTTATAGAGCACGAGTCCTTTACTAGATAAGAAAACAGTGTAAGAAATATTAATTAATATTAACTAAAGTAGGACCAGAAAAGAGGAAATAAAATGAATAAAGGAAAACAATAAATGGATGCCCAATTAGGAATGACTACGTAGACTAAAATAAATGGGGAGATCTACTGTTTTTACTTTTTGAAAGTGTAATTAGAATGGGAATTAAAGTTGAATTAATTTTTAGTTACGGGAAGTTTACGTAAACATTATGATATAGTTGAATTCAAAATGTTAATAATTAATTAATGTTTAATCACTTCTCCCACCTTCTATATATATAAGAGTACAAATAAAATGCATGAACAAAGGGTACTTAAAGATTCTATTTATCCTTCCCACTTTTAAACCTTTTTTTGTCTTCAATTTTTAACACTTTATTCTTTATTCTTTTTAAGCTTTTTTCTGTCATTATTTTCTTATTAATTAAAAAGAGGTCTGATTAACCTTTGATCTTATATTGCGTTGCATGATTGGTGGAATTCTCAAAAAANAAAAAAAAAAAAAAAAAAAAAAAAAAAAAAAAAAAAAAAAAAGCAATACCTTGATGTGAAAGAATTTTTCTTGGGAATTAAATTATTAGAAAAGCTATTTCTTTTTCTAATATGTTATCTTATTTTATGCTTTAAATGTGTATGTTAAGGAATTTAAAATGGTAAGTCAATATTTATTATTAACCAAAAAAAAAAAAGAATTTTTTTTTTATCCATAAATAGATTTGATACTTTAAATGGTAAGTGATTAATTAATAAGAACTTATTATTTTAAATTTCATGTCATGTTGTGCTCTTAGAATAACCCTTTTTATGAATGGTCAAAATATATTAAAGATCAAAACTTAAGACTTATTTTCTTTATTTAGTGAATCAATATAAATTTCTAGTTTATTATGTAAATTAAATTTGTGAGGACTCTAAATGTATGTTAATGGGATCTAATATATATAATTCTATAATTGAGTTTCAATAGTTATGAATTAAATTCAAGACACAAACAACCAACTGTTTTCATTAAAGACAAAATCTATTGATAATTATTGTAAATTTAAATGCATTAAAATTATAAGATCCTTTGTTAAAACACAATCTTTCTCTATTATTATACTATACATGAAGCTTTCAATTTAAGTAATTATTAATATTTTCATATTGAATCTCAGTTAACCAAGGTCCCATTTTGAATTAAGACCCACTAATTAAAATTCAGTTAAAAAATATATATTGTATTTATTCAAATATTAAACTAAAAAAAATCTATTATTTTATTGAAGATCCCATATTTATTTTATTTGATCAAAATAAGAAAAATTGTAGATTAATGTTTTCACTTTCATATCATGTATTGCTATTGAATGTTGGCAATATTAAATTAAGATCTCCCAAAATTTTAGTTAATTTGTATTCTTTAATTCAAAGTCAAAGTTCCATAATTCCATACATATAAATTCTATCTAAGATGTTGACAAAATATTAAAGGAATTATTAAATATTTTTAATTTATTTGTCACATTCTATATTGCTAACAAATAGCACATATATTCAATTTTTAAGTCTTTAGTACTCTTCATTAAGTAGACGAATTTATTAAACCTAAAACAGATAAGATCTATTTTAGTAAAGCTCATAATTTAAAATAAAAGTTGAAAATTAATTTGACTACAGAGTAAAAAACTATATATATTTTTTTATTATTATTTGTGCCAATGAATAATGTTATAAGATATTCATAATGCAATTAATAGAAAGGAAAATATTTGTTGGTGGGGGAGTAAATTTAGAGCTGAAAAAAAAGGGCATAAATTTTAGTGCATGAAGAGGAGAGGTGAGAAGTTGTAGTAACAGTAAGAGAATAAATCCACCGACAGTGGGGTGTGGTCGGTCGTCAATTATTGAAGAAGGCTGCAATGAATACCTAATTTCTTGTGTTGTTTTATGTTGAATATTTGAGGTTTAACAATGAACATTCTGTCGTCTTCCTTCATGTCCCAAAACTGAACCTGAAAATATGCCTGCTAAAATAAAAACATTCTATATTTTGTACTGCATTTTTATGCATATACGTGTACTTGCGCTTTTGTTTTCTACATCAAATTAAAAAAATAAAAAATAAAAAGGAGAGAGAAATGAGAAAGCATATCCATTGTTATCGAAAATAAAATCTATGAAACAGTAATATTTTTATTCACATTTTGATTGATTATAATTTGTTATAGAGTGGGATTTATATGTATCCCTAAAACTACTCTTCACATATACTACAACCATTATTAAATTTTTACATAAAATAACTTTATAATTTTTAAAATAATAATAATTTTACACAAATTCTCTCATATAAAATGATTTATTTTAAGTTGATTAAATTAATAACTTCAAATTAAAGAGAACACGTATCTAACTTGCATGGTTATTACATCTGTGTGAGAAAAATAGTTTGTCTCTGTTGATGCAACGATTTGCACCAATAAGAAGTATGTAAGATTTTAGATGAATCTGTACAAGAGCATGTTTAAGACCTAAAGGTTTGATGTAGAATCACTGAATATAAAGATATATCCAAGAGCAAGAAAATAAAAGAGATTTTTAAAGTGATTTAGATGCTAAAAGTCAATCTTACGTCTACTATTATATTATCGTACTTATTGTTTTACGAGCTTGCTATAATGTGTTTTTTATGAGTAATATGCAACCTAATTCTCTACCCTCCCCAAGACTGATTATCACGGGGTTTATACAAGGCCAACTACATATTTGAATATTTCTGAATAGGATAACAACTCGATCTTCAACTCTCCTTCGGGAATCCATGTTGTAACTGAAGTAGGAATTATCCTTTCCGGGCCTATTGCACCACGAGTTGAAAATAAAATCAAACTTCAATAGATTAGGAACAATAATGCTACGGACACCGGATTTTTGCACCGAAACATTGTATCGGCCTACGTGTAACATGCCTCTAATTTTTTTAACATTTTTTTGCGAGTGAACGGCCGTCCATCAAATTTGGACGGCCGTTCACTCACATGGACGCCCATCCATATTATATGGACGGGGGTCCATATATCAGGGACGGACTTCCCCATTTAATGAACGCCCGTCCATAAGTAAAATGAACAAAATATAAAAAAAAAAAAAAAATTGGGGACGACCGTCCATAAATTTTGGACGGTCGTCCCTTACGTTTGGACGGGCGTTCATCCATACTTTAAAAAAAAAAAAAAAAAACACTTTCTTCTTCTTCTTTCCACTCCATCCTTGTAACACCTCAAATCCATTTTGCAGCAATCCTAATCCTTCCACTGAATTACAGCATAAACAAAACAAAAATACAGATGACACAGACTACAAGAGACAGACTGAAGTTCACTATAAGTTTAAAACATTTTCAACTAAGAAGAACAACTTTAAAGTCTTTGTCTTCCCATTTGCCCATAATTGCCAAAAGACAAGAAGAAGAAAGATACAGAGAGATTAAGAGAAAGTTGTGAACTTTATATTTATATATTTTTTATTATTTTGATGACTTTTATTCTTATGAAATTCTGTTCTTTCTGATCTTTATTTAGTAGAATTTGATTCTTATTCAGCTTTCATTTCAGAGAAAAAGTGTTTATTTACAGATCTATTTGGAGCTCTTCGCTTATGGGTTTTTCTTCTATTGGGGTAAGTTTTTCTGATTCTAATTATGGGTTCCTCCCACTGAATTATAGCATAAACAAAAAAAAAAAAAAACAACCTTTAGTGGATTTGAGGTGTTACAGGGATGGAGTGGAGCGAAGAAGAAGAAG